CCCGTGGTTCCCCTCCCCCGCGGTCCCCTCCCCAGCATCCCCCCCCACTGTCCCCCTCCCCCCGCGGTCCCCTCCCCCGCGGTCCCCTCCCCAGCATCCCCCCCACGGTCCCCCTCCCCCGTGGTCCCCCTCCCCCGCGGTCCCCCTCCCCCCGCGGTCCCCTCCCTAGCATCCCCCCCACGGTCCCCCTCCCCCACGGTCCCCCCTCCCCCGGCGGTCCCCTCCCCAGCATCCCCCCCACGGTCCCCCTCCCCCCGCGGTCCCCTCCCCAGCATCCCCCCCACGGTCCCCCCTCCCCCGTGGTCCCCCTCCCCCGCGGGTCCCCCCCCCCCAGCATCCCCCCCCGTGGTCCCCCTCCCCCCCCGCGGTCCCCTCCCCAGCATCCCCCCGCGGTCCCCCTCCCCCGCGGTCCCCCTCCCCCGCGGTCCCCTCCCCCCGCGGTCCCCCCTCCCCCGTGGTCCCCTCCCCAGCATCCCCCCCCGCGGTCCCCCTCCCCCCGCGGTCCCCCTCCCCCGCGGTCCCCCCTCCCCCGCGGTCCCTCCCCAGCATCCCCCCCCCCGTGGTTCCCCTCCCCCGCGGTCCCCCCTCCCCCGCGGTCCCCCTCCCCCGCGGTCCCCCTCCCCCGCGGTCCCTCCCCAGCATCCCCCCCGTGGTCCCCCTCCCCCCGTGGTCCCCCTCCCCCGCGGTCCCCCCCCAGCATCCCCCCCCGTGGTCCCCCCTCCCCCGCGGTCCCCTCCCCCAGCATCCCCCCCGCGGTCCCCCTCCCCCGCGGTCCCCCTCCCCCGCGGTCCCCCCCAGCATCCCCCCCCCCCGTGGTTCCCCTCCCCGTCTCACCCGCGCCGCTCTCCTGACCAGCTGCGACCCTTTCCCCTCCTGCGCAGCGCACCAGTCACCACGCTGCGACCCCTGTGGTGCACGCTCCGTGGAACCTGTAATTTGGAATCTTCTGATTCCATCACAAATGACCCCTTGGTTTAAAGCCTGGATGGAGGGGGCCGCTGCGTCCGGTGAGGGCGGAAGGCGCCGCGGAGTCCACGCAGGGACACGGCTCTGTGCTCAGCCAACCCGTCTCCCCTGAGAGGAGCCTTCCCTCCCAGGAGGGGACCCGAGGGCCGCTAGTACACAGGACGCCCATGGACGCGCTGCTGTCCCCCCGGCCCCACGCGGCGGACACCGGGAACACGAACCCGTGGCTGAATTACACCATCAGCCCCAACGCTTTTCACAAGCGCTTAAACAACATTGAATCGGGCCTTAAACACAAGAAAAGGGGAGAGCAGCACACAAGACGGACCTTTACACTAGGTGAGATACCCCGGGGCGGAGTTTCCCACGGAGGATGACATCCACCTCTCCCCCTCTGAGGACAGAGTCCATCTCTCCCTCCAAGGCTGGAATCCGCCTCTCCCTCCGAGGGCAGCAGGACTGGGCATTCTCAGATTTTGCAGAATCGATTTCTTCAGAGCTGCTGGTAGTAGCTGGGAGCCACAGGACATGCCTCTCTAATTTGCGTTGATGAAAGGTAATGTAAGGGGTGCATTTTCGTAGGAAAACAATCATTTGTGACTAACAGAGAGGCTTCGGCCTGAGACTGTATTTGAGGCCAGAGCCAACCAGAGAGCCCGGCTGAGAGGCGGGTTCCTGCGCAGAGGCTCCATGTGCAGGTGGACGGGGCTGGCTGCCCCTCTGCTCTCTGAAGTCAAGGGGACCACAGAGGACAGACCCTGTGCCCGCATACCCTCCACTTGTGAGCAAATCCACATACCACGGCCTTCCTCTGGCCCCGTCGGCCAGACGCCAGACCCAGCACGCACACACACCGTGCATACAGAGGCTTGCGCTACAATGCTAGCTCAGCTCCAAGGCTAGATCCTGGGTCCCGTGTGGTTCTGGGATGGGAGCTGTGGTCCATTGGTCATAGCATCAGCAAGATCAGTACCGGTGGTAAGACGTGGAGAGACGCAGCTCCTCTTCTCCCAGGTGATCCTGCGTGCTAATCACTCAACAGGACGTCAGCAGAGTCCACAACGACGCTTCTGGAGGATGATCACTCCTGCCTTCCCGGGGAAAGAAATCTGCTCGCACTGAAAGCCGCCTGGTTGCAGGTGGCCGTGGTCTCGTGCCCACTCTCACACCACCTTTGAGCCGGTTTTCCCTTCAGGTTTCACACTCCAAAGCAGCATAGGGGTGGACGGGGAGATGGGTGAGGTGTTGTTTTAAAAGGAAAGACTCCCACATATAACTGGTTATTTACCTCTGTTGCCTTTTACATGCATGTCCCATTACCAGGACTATTCCATCATCATCACCACCACCGCCATCATCATCACCATAACCAGCGCACACCAGCTTATCCCTGCTCACACCAGCTCACACTAGCTCATCCCAGTTCATACTAGCTCATCAGCTCACACCAGCTCATCAGCTCACACCATCTCACACCAGCTCACACTACTCACATCAGCTCACACCAGCTCATCAGCTCACATCAGCTCACCAGCAAACACCAGCGCACCGGCTGACGCCAGGCCCTGTGGCCAGCACGCCAGCTGAACTCCAGCAGCCCAGCCCCTCTTTACAGAGGTTGTGTTAGGGATGAGGCCCGGTCTCTGCCCGTGTGGAGGAGGCCTGCCCTCAGCTTTATGTCTCCTCCTCCAGCACTGGGGTTCTGTGACTGTTTAGACTGACTCAGGGGAAATGCTGTGTGACAAAGGTCAGTGCACAGTTCTCAAATTAGCTTCCTCCCTCTCTGGCCTCCCATTGCACCCCTCAAGGCTGACAATGGCAGCATCCTCTGGACGCTTGCATGGCAGGAAAGGGCCAGAGAGCATGGCTGCCGTCCAGGACGGCAAAGGAGGGAAAGTGGGTAGATAGCGCTCTCTCCAGCCAGCGATACTGGCTGGGTCCCTGAGCTTCCCCAGGCCAGGCCCCCACAGAGGCCGCCGAGAGCCAACCACGGGAGTGCAGCAGTGTGCGGGAAGCTCCACGCTGCTCCTGACCCCCAGTCTGCCCTGCGTGGTACCCATGTCTCCATGGAAAGCCAAAGGCAACTGACTTGCTGCTGATTGGATGATGCTAGAAACGGATCTTTGGGGAGTGACAGTGCACTCTTCTTCTTCTTTTTTTAAACATAGTTTTGTTTTTATTTTGAAGAAGCCAAAAATCTAAAAAGAAAAAAGAATGAAGGATCCTGTGGTTTCGTGAAGATGCAGAAAACGGAATTTTATGGTACATTCAAAGTGTAAAACCTGCATTACTATTGAATACAAACTGATTTTACAATAAACTTAAGTTGTGTACTATTTTTAAGCATCAACGAATAAGCATACTTGGTTTTCATAACGATGTTAATTTCTGACATGATGAAAACAAACCTGCCAATCACTATTTTGTCTCAGAACATGGGTAGTTGCTTTTGCTTTATTAAAGAGAAAAGAGCTTAGTTCACAGAGAATTCCTGAGAACTTAATTAAGAAAAGTAATCCAAGTTCTATTCTTCTATCATGATCACTATTACTCCACCAGGCTGTTCTGATTCAAGCAACCATGTAGTATGGATCTCTTAAAAATATAGCGCACAGCTAAAATCATTAAAACATGTATTTATAAGAAATATAAAAAATAATAATTCCCAAGTTTTTCTAAAATGGACATTTGATAGAGAGGGAGCGGGAGAGAGAAATCAGTGATAATCTCGTTCCAACAACTTAGGGAGTCTCTGTGTGAATCTGAGATAAACTCAGGTCTACAGTTCTCATGGATGGACAAGGAAATTCAGCTATGAAACGTGAGGGAGTGAGCGAGTGGAAAGGCTCAGGACGATTACCAGGAAGTGCTAATTGTGTCTGGGTAGACGGTAGGGGCGGGGGATGGGTGCTGCCTGTTCGGCTGTGAGGCCAGTCACGGTGAGCACTGCATGTCCATGTGATCAGCATGAGCCATTGTCCTGGGATCCCTCCGCCCCCCCCACCCCGCCCTGTGGGGCTTGCTGGGTAATAAATTCACATGCCAAGTCAACATGGTTGGCTTGTTTCTGTCACACGGATGGTAGAATTCTATCTGACTTAAGTTTGGCAGACGTACGTCTTAACGTGGGCCCGTAGCTATTAAGTATTTGTCAAGCATCAAGAGCATAACAGTAGCTGGGTCTGGTGGCTCCTACTTGTAAACCCAACTTCTCTCTGGAGGCTGAGGGGGGAGGATCAGAAGTTGGAGGACGGCAGGATTCTGTCTCAAGACAGGACCCAGAAGTGTTGGGTGTGTAGATTTGGAGAAGGCGGGTGTGAGGCCTTTGCACAGATTCAGTCCCCAGAGCCCAAAACAAAACAAAACAAACAGAAAGATCATAAAAGCAATCTTTCCATTTGGAAGCGTTATTGCAGAGTTGCTGAGGGGCAGGTCCGGAGGGTCCTTACCGCTGCTGTTATTCATGTTTCTGTTTCTGTCTGCACATCTGTGTTAATGCCGTGCCTCTTCTGAGAAGCTGCAGCCTTTCATGCTTTATGAAGGTTTCCTGCATCTGTCTGGGGAATCCTCTTCCTCCTTCTTTTTCATTTTTTCTTTTTTCTTGCTCACCGTAACAGGATTGATTCAGGCTCCTGGGTAAAGGGGAATTGTGTTAACTAGAAAGGACTTGTGTTTGGTTTGGAAATCTTCATGTTATTATCATTCCGTGGAAACAGATGTTATGTCCGGCAGTAGGTGCTGCTGACAGCTGACCTGTGGCTTCACGCTTGCCAGTATTTACCAGGAATTTTACAGTCAGGAAATCTATCCTGATTTCTCCTGTGTAAGGACATCAGAATTGCCTAATCTGTGTGGCAACTCCTGTCATCCTTGCAATACCATCAAAGTTTGAAATTAAATCCATCTGTGCATGAAAACAAATAGGAACAATATGGTTGGTACCCATTGTGCGTCAATCAAGTAGACACTGTGGTGTAGACACACGCTACTTGTAAGCAAAGCTGTTATTCTGAGGAAACTGGAGATTTACTTACTGTGTGAGAAGCAAGACCAGCCCCCAGCCGCCATCTGCAGAACTGGGACACCGGAAGGACACAGGACACAGGACCACAGCGCGCACATGGCAGTACCACTGGGAGAACCGGCCCCGCTACACAGCAGAGCCGCATCTTGTTTCCTGGGCGTTTTCAGTCAGGATCACTGTTGGCTATGTAACCAGATGACCTGAGTGCTTCAATCTCATGCTTTCTTCTCGTCACCGTGGTCATTGTTACAGATATTCCACGGAGAATTCTGGCTAAGGAAGAGAAAAGAGACACCAATGAACCAACCCTTTCACCGGCGACCCACGCACAGCCGTTAGCAGAGCAGATGCTCTGAATGCGTTGCTGCAGGGCTGGACGTGGAAGGGCTGGACATAATTGGAGGGTGAACAAGCTGGATTCAACAGTGGGAAAGAAAACCATGCTGAAACTTCAACCCAAGCGCACTGGCCTCCGAAAGGAACCCAGAGTGCTCTGTATTTCCATCTCATGTGAATGGGGCCGTGGGCTCCAGGAAAAGGCTCCAAAGAACATAGGTTTATACAAGGTTGGTGTGAGTGCTGGAACTCACCTTCCTTCCTTGGAAAATCTGTGCCCCTTTGTTCCATACTGTGTATCTTAATGAACGAGCATCGACTGCTGCTCATTAAAGAGATTCATGGGAAAGCCGCAGCATAGATGGATAGATTGTCTATCTAAAGTATTGTATTTTAGACCCTATAGAGGTTAGCTATGTCTATACGATTAGCTCTGTCTGTCTGTCTGTCTATCCTCTCCCTGCTCTGCGGCAGTGCGCATCATAAACGTCACTGCACAGACAGAGTGGGCCGCAGCGATGTGTCCGGAACTCCACGGGACAGCATCCTATGTAGCTTCCCTGCTGTCACTGCGCCGAGAAGCAAGGCAGGGACCACGTGAGCTAACCAGAGTGGGTGGGAGAGGCGAGTGGCGGCCCGCCCTGGCGGCCCTGGCCTCTTGATCGTTTCCTACTTGCTACCTGGATTGGAGGACACCCCGTGGCTTCTGTCCCGGGTTCTAGATGCACGAGCACCCATCTTAACGCTGCAGTTCCACAGCTCCCGCCCCGGCTGGGCTTTAGAGAGGGGAGGAGAGCCGGCCCAGCCCGCTACCTCCCCTCCTCTTCCCAGTTGATAGGAGCCTGGAATTGTATTTTCCAGAGTGTTAGGAGATGGTGATTGTAAGCGCTCACTAAGTTCTAGTGAAGCCCTAATGAGCCACTCTGGGGCATGAGGCAGTGCCCGCCTGACGTGGCGTTCTTGGTATCGGCCCTTCTAGCAAGGGCCCCGAGCCCCTGAGCACAGCTCTGCAGTGTCACCGGACCTCTGTTGTCCGTCACTCTGTCCTTCCTGGGCTGGAGGCCCTCTGTGGCTAGAAGCCCACGTGTACACCATATCCTAGCCTTTTCACAAGGGGAGAGGCAGACAGGCTTGGTGGAATGCTGGGGCGGGGAGGTGAGGCTGGGGCTGCCCGTCTTCTCAAGACCTGGTAGAGAAGCACACTGCCGGTCCTCATCCTGCACGGGCGGGTGGGAGCAGAGGATGCGTTCTCCTGAAAGTAAGATTGAATTAAAGTGAGATCTGTAAGCTTTGGCTCCTCAGGCATGCTTCCTGGTTGTGGGTGAGCGTCTGGCAGCATGTGGCAGCATGTGGCAGGCCCGAGCATTGGCAGGACACCCGGCCCGGAGAAGGGGCCTCCCTCAGAAGTAGAGTGATGGGTGTGTCCCGTGTGAGCACCGGGCCGGCCTCCGCCGCTCTGAGGAGCCCGAGCCTGTCTGGCAGGCTGCTGCTGGCTGCTCACATGGTTTGAAGTTCCCAGCACATGTTTTTAAAGTCAAAGTGCAGACCGTCATCTTAGAGCCATTGCTAAGAGTTGGGGGCTGGGCGGGGTGGCTGGCTGAGTGCTGGCCATTTTGATGATCTCCCTGTGCCCTGTCCCCCACAGGCCCGGGGAGGGGCCCTGCCTCCCATCTGGACCCTCAGCACAGAGTTCAGACTTAAGGACATTCTTCCTTAGAGATGGGTGTGCTCTAATTAGATCGTTTAACCGTGGTCGGCTTTTTAATGAATAACTGAGGAGTTAGTGGAGGGAGTGTGGGTGTACCCTGTGTAATATAGGGATAAGGTGCTAAACTTGATAAAATCCACAACCAGTTACATCCTCAAGAAGGTGTTGCTAGCAAGATGCTGCCATCAGAGAGATCCGTGGTGGAGCAGTCCTTCGTGTTCACCGCACGTCGCCCTTGTTCTGGGCGGAAGCCGTCCCACAGACGCTGTCCGCGCCTCTGATGTGGCCTGCCTGTCTTTGCAGCCTCCATCGCTTCCACCTGCAATGATCCGGGGACGATGCAGAACGGGACCCGCTACGGTGACAGCAGGGAGCCCGGTGACACCATCACCTTCCAGTGCGACCCTGGCTACCAGCTCCAAGGACAGGCCAAGGTCACCTGCGTGCAGCTCAACAGCCGGTTCTTCTGGCAGCCAGACCCTCCGACGTGCATAGGTATCAGCCATGCAGAGGCAGAGATTCTGTGTGTAGATGTGTGCCCATGCTGTCCCATGTGCCCCTCCTGCTGTGCTGTGTGTGGATGTGCACCCATGCCCATTGAGCTGTGCTGTGTGTGGATGTGCACCCATGCCCATTGAGCTGTGCTGTGTGTGGACGTGCACCCGTGCCCATTGAGCTGTGCTGTGTGTGGACGTGCACCCGTGCCCATTGAGCTGTGCTGTGTGTGGACGTGCACCCGTGCCCATTGAGCTGTGCTGTGTGTGGACGTGCACCCGTGCCCATTGAGCTGTGCTGTGTGTGGACGTGCACCCGTGCCCATTGAGCTGTGCTGTGTGTGGACGTGCACCCGTGCCCCATTGAGCTGTGCTGTGTGTGGATGTGCACCCGTGCCCCATTGAGCTGTGCTGTGTGTGGATGTGCACCCGTGCCCATTGAGCTGTGCTGTGTGTGGATGTGCACCCGTGCCCATTGAGCTGTGCTGTGTGTGGACGTGCACCCGTGCCCCTCCTGCTGTGCTGTGTGTGGACGTGCACCCGTGCCCATTGAGCTGTGCTGTGTGTGGATGTGCACCCGTGCCCATTGAGCTGTGCTGTGTGTGGATGTGCACCCGTGCCCATTGAGCTGTGCTGTGTGTGGACGTGCACCCGTGCCTCTCCTGCTGTGCTGTGTGTGGACGTGCACCCGTACTCATTGAGCTGTGCTGTGTGTGGACGTGCACCCGTGCCCATTGAGCTGTGCTGTGTGTGGACGTGCACCCGTGCCCATTGAGCTGTGCTGTGTGTGGACGTGCACCCGTGCCCATTGAGCTGTGCTGTGTGTGGATGTGCACCCGTGCCCATTGAGCTGTGCTGTGTGTGGATGTGCACCCGTGCCCCTCCTGCTGTGCTGTGTGTGGACGTGCACCCGTGCCCATTGACCTGTCCTGTGTGTGGATGTGCCCCCGTGCCCCATTGAACTGTCCTGCTACTGACGGCTGGGTTGGAGTTGCCTCTCAAGAGTTCCTGAAAGGTCCTTGGATGATCTGGGGCCACACGAAAATTCTATGTTAAACCTTTAAGCTTTATTTAATTATGTGAAATAAAGGGAGTAGCTTATTTAATGTACAATAATTGACATTTATCTAGCATTTCTCATCCTTAGTAATTCTTATATAAACATGGATCAGCCAAAGTACTGCAATTTTAAATTGCAAAGGGCTCAAAATTCATATCCCTACCATTACTGTTCTCATTTGCAATATGAGAAAAGGCCCCTAAGCAAAACCTCCTTACTAAAGAGCACTTTCTCTTGTGAGATGTGCTTTTCCCACAGTAGCAGCACATGCTAAATAGAATCCTGAAAGCTAGAAATTATATTGTTTCAATGAAAATGAAGACCAAAGGAAAAATTTTCTTCCAACATTTCATTAAAATTGTATTGCCTGGCCTTATTGGAAGGGTGATAGATGGTTTTGCAGCCTTTGGTTTGAATAACCATCTAAGGTGATCTACCACAAATGTGATTTTAGGGAGATACATTTTATATAAGGTAGTAATTACATGTACATTGTCTCTTCTTTCAATTAAACATTTTAATATAAAATGCCTATTTAGAGTATTTCATCTTTATTTTCAAAAGAAACTCTACTTAGCTTCATTATTTTAATGAACTATCACAGTTCAATTAGAACTTTTTCATAGTCTTTTTGAAGAATGTTAAATTTAATTAATCTTAGCAGAGAGAGACAGAGAATGGGCTGTTAGGCCACAGTTAAGGGGTTACTTTGCATACTGTGACCTTGAAGAGATTTTTGTAGTGTAAAGGAGATTTTATTCTCCCCAGCACACCAGCAAAAAAATTCTCCATTGGAAGATCCTCCGTGTTCCATGGAGAATTTAGGGAAATAATTATAGTCCCTTATCCTGGACTATTCACGAAGACAGATGAGATTTTGTGCTGTTGCCTGGTCAGACAGCAGCCCGTGTTTGCTCCATGTGTGGGGTCAGATACAGCCCATGTTTTCGTCATACGTGTGGCAGACAGCAGCCCATGTTTGCTCCATGTGTGGGGAGACAGCAGCCCATGTTTGCGTCATGTGTGGGCAGACGCTTCATGTGTGGGCAGACAGCAGCTCGTGTTTGCTTCATGTGTAGACAGACAGCAGCCCGTGTTTGTGTCATGTGTAGGCAGACAGCAGCCTGTGTTTGCTTCATGTGTGGGTCAGAGAGCAGCCCATGTTTGCTTTGTGTGTGTGGCAGACAGCAGCCCATGTTTGCGTCATGTGTGGGCAGACAGCAGCCCATGTTTGTGCCATGTGTGGACAGACAGCAACCTGTGTTTGCGTCATGTGTGGCAGACAGCAGCCCGTGTTTGCTTCATGTATGGGTCAGATAGCAGCCCGTGTTTGCTCCATGTGTGGACAGACAGCAGCCCGTGTTTGCGTCATGTGTGGGTCAGACAGCAGCCCATGTTTGTGCCATGTGTGGACAGACAGCAGCCCATGTTTGTGTCATGTGTGGCAGACAGCAACCCGTGTTTGCGTCATGTGTGGCAGACAGCAGCCCGTGTTTGCGTCATGTGTGGTCAGACAGCAGCCCGTGTTTGCGTCATGTGTGGTCAGACAGCAGCCCGTGTTTGCGTCATGTGTGGTCAGACAGCAGCCCGTGTTTGCGTCATGTGTGGTCAGACAGCAGCTTGTGTTTGCTCCATGTGTGGGCAGACAGCAGCCCGCGTTTGCTCCATGTGTGGGGAGACAGCAGCCCGTGTTTGCTCCATGTGTGGGCAGACAGCAGCTTGTGTTTGCTTCATGTGTGGGCAGACAGCAGCTCGTGTTTACTTCATGTGTGGGCAGACAGCAGCCCGTGTTTGTGTCATGTATGGCAGACAGCAGCCCATGTTTGTATCATGTGTGGGTCAGACAGCAGCCCATGTTTGCATCATGTGTGGGCAGACAGCAGCTTGTGTTTGCTCCATGTGTGGGCAGACAGCAGCCCGTGTTTACTTCATGTGTGGGCAGACAGCAGCCCGTGTTTACTTCATGTGTGGGCAGACAGCAGCCCGTGTTTGCATCATGTGTGGGTGGACGGCAGCCCGTGTTTGTGTCATGTGTGGGCAGACAGCAGCCCGTGTTTGCATCATGTGTGGGCAGACGGCAGCCCGTGTTTGTGTCATGTGTGGCAGACAGCAGCCCATGTTTGCTTCATGTGTGGGCAGACAGCAGCCTGTGTTTGTGTCATGTGTGGGCAGACAGCAGCCCGTGTTTGTGTCATATGTGGTCAGACAGCAGCTCGTGTTTGCATCATGTGTAGCAGACAGCAGCCTGTGTTTGTGTCATGTGTGGCAGACAGCAGCTCGTGTTTGCTCCATGTGTGGGCAGACAGCAGCCCGTGTTTGTGTCATGTGTGGCAGACAGCAGCCCGTGTTTGCATCATGTGTGAGCAGACAGCAGCCCGTGTTTGCGTCATGTGTGGTCAGACAGCAGCTCGTGTTTGCTCCATGTGTGGGCAGACAGCAGCTCGTGTTTGCATCATGTGTGGGCAGACAGCAGCTCGTGTTTGTTTCATGTGTGGGTAGACAGCAGCCCGTGTTTGCATCATGTGTGGGCAGACAGCAGCTCGTGTTTGCATCATGTGTGAGCAGACAGCAGCCCGTGTTTGCATCATGTGTGAGCAGACAGCAGCTGTGTTTGCATCATGTGTGGCAGACAGCAGCCCGTGTTTGCATCATGTGTGAGCAGACAGCAGCCCATGTTTGCGTCATGTGTGGTCAGACAGCAGCTCGTGTTTGCATCATGTGTGGACAGACAGCAGCTCGTGTTTGCGTCATGTGTGTGGCAGACAGCAGCTCGTGTTTGCTCCATGTGTGGTCAGACAGCAGCCCATGTTTGCGTCATGTGTGGGGCCCATTTGTATTTCCTGATCTCGGTGAGTCCTGCCGTGCCTTTAAGTGACTGTGGAATACCAGGAGCCTTGAAGGTGCTGCACGTTTCTTTTCCTTGGGGAGGCATTCCCTATAATTCAGCCTCCGTTTAAACCACCAGCCTGGGTTTAATTAGAAAGGCTTTGTTATTCTTTTTTGCCAGTCCTGGGCTTGAACTCAGGCCTGGGCACTGTCCCTGAGCTTCTTTTGTTCAAGGCTAGTGCTCTACCTTTTTGAGCCACAGTACCACTTCCGGCTTTTTCTGTGTATGTGGTACTGAGGAATCAAACCCAGGGCCTCATGCATGCTAGGCAAGCACTCTACCACTGAGCCACCTTCCCAGCCAGCCCCAGAAAGACTTTTTATTTTAACCTTGCCACTTTCACATGTTTTAACTTTGTGGAGGAACACACTCAAAAGCAACACAACTACAAGTTGATCTCTAAGAGGCAATTCAGCTCTTAGGTTCATCTAAGATATGATCAGCCCGTAAATCATTCTACACTTTTTTGTTAAAAGTATGACTTTTGGTTAAGGTGACTAGGGGTAGCCACCTAGTTTGGGCCAGAAACTATTAATTCTGTGCTCAGCAGTTTAAGGACTAGTTGTTTCAAAGGCAGGCTGGAATCATCTGCTGGTAATTGAATGATCACTTATTTTAGCAATTAGACACACCTCCCATGAGAGCTGTAATTGGAACAAGTGAACAGTGTCTTTTAATTACATCATACTTCTGTGTTTTTTTTTTTAGCAGTGGGGCCTATGTCCTCTGTAAAATATCCACATAACAGGACAGAGGCTGGTCTGATGCAGCCAGCAGGCAATTCTGTGCTCAGGATTCAAGACACTGATTAATTTCCCTTTTCCTTTTTTAAAGATAATATGTGTTGATTGTAGTTATCAATAAGCCCTAGTAAGACACAAAGGGAAGAGAAAGGCTGTTACCATCAGTAGAGTCATAGAATCATAAAATTCATGATTATATCGTCACCTATTTTGAAGTGTGTTTAAGAAACACTGCCTGAATGATTATTTTACAAGCTATAGGTTTCATTTATCAGCAAATGGCTTCTTTAGTGTTATGTTTCCTTCCAGTCATCTTTCATGGCTGCATAGCATGTCTGCAGAAGGCAGCTCTGCTTGCTCAGAACAGCAATACCATGTGTATATATGCGCACACACACACACAAACACACACACACACACACACACACACACACACACACACACACACCCCTTCAGCTTCAGCTGACTGCAGCTAAAGCTGCAGTTATTGACCCATGAAGTGGTTTAGGCACTGGTTCCTCTGGAGAGAGGTATAACGAACTCTGTGTCGCACAAAGCACACCGAGGATCATTCACAAATTGGTAAATCCCATTTTCTACAAGCTCGCATCCCTGTGGGACATTTGTCCAAGCTCATTCACAACTGTGACACTGGGTTAAGGCAAATGGGCTTCTTCCCCACAACTTAGAAACTCCGAGCCTGTGGTAGTTCTGACCTTCATAACTTAATGTGGACACAGCGCCGAATCCTCATGATAGCTGGCATTTTAAGTTCATCAAACATATATATGCCCAGGTTAGGCAGCTAACTAACTTCCTTTCCCCTCCACACAGTAGCATCTTATGCCCTACTTGGTCTCCTCTGTGTGAGATTGCCTGACTTCCCATTTCCAGGCCCGTTTCCACCTGTGGCTAATTTCTCTCTGGCTCTGCGTGGTGCCTTCCTCTCTCTCCCTGCAGGTTCCCTGCAAATGGACTTCTGTACTGTCTAGGCCGGATGACTGCTTTCCACAGGTCAAATGACCACTGATCAATGGGCCGCGCTGTTGGAGCAGGCATTCCTCCAAACCCTCTGGTCTCCGCGGTCAGGAGCCTGTAGTCATGTTTACCCGGTCCAGATTCTGTAGAATCCTCTGTCTTGGGAGCCCACATTCACTTTTTCCAGCTCCAAATTCTATAGAATTCTGGACAGCAGAAACTTAGCCTGAGTTTGCTAAATTCTCTCTTTCTTCTGTCTTTCTTTCTTTCTTTCTTTCTTTCTTTCTTTCTTTCTTTCTTTCTTTCTTTCTCTCTCTCTCTCTTTTCCCTCCCTCCCTACCTCCCTTCTTTCTTTCTTTCTTTCTTTCTTTCTTTCTTTCTTCTTTCTTTCTTTCTTTCTTTCTTTCTTTCTTTCTTTCTTTCTTTCTTTCTTTCTTTCTTTCTCTCTCTCTCTCTCTTCCCTCCCTCCCTCCCTCCCTCCTTTCTTTCTTTCTTCTTTCTTTCTTTCTCTTTTTCTTTCTTTCTTTTCTTTCTTTCTCCATGGGGCTTGAACTCTGGGCCTGAGCGCTGTCCCTCAGCTCTTCAGCTCAAGGCTGGCACTCTACCACTTGAGCCACATTGCCACATCTGGTCTTCTGGTGGCTTATTGGAGAAAAGTCTCATGGACTTTTCTGCCAGGCCTGGCTTTGAACCGCGATCCTCAGATCTCAGCCTCCTGAGTAGCTAGATGACAGGCGTGAGCCACCGGTGCCCGGCCTCTAAATTCTATTTGCTATCCCTCCCGGACCTGCAGGATGTCTGTCTAAGGACTGATCATCTCTGGAAGGGGCAAGTGCTCACATGGTTTGATGCAGATGGTGAAGAGTAGAGTACTGACACCTTGCCACAGGTCATGGGGAGGCCCCTGTGCCCAGGGCCAGCGGGGTGAGGATTTGGGTTTTACCTCTAGGCCCTTCCCTGTTGGTGAGTTTCCTGGAGCTTTGAGCTGCTTTTTCTGCTAAATTCCAATCCTGTCCAAACCATTTTGCAAGCTCTCTAGTTAAAACCTAATGGAGCTCAAAAGAGGGGCCCAGACTCAAGGGAATGCACACTCAGCCGGCTGCGGCACTCAGTTCCACCTCTCAGCCTTGAAACTGCCTCCTCTGCACTGGCCTCTCAGGAGCGGCCAGGATTTCTTGGGCTTCCTGTGAGTCAGTTCTTAAATCACAGCCGGAGCCTGCCTGCTGGGAGCAGCCCGGGACAGAGCCCCGAACCTGTTCGTTTCATCTTCCAAACCTGTTTGGGATGGAACCTTCTAGACTTTTGCCTCCCTCTCTCTGGGGGAGGGGCACCAGCCTCACGGTCTGGCTGGTATCACTCCTGAGCATGCACCTCCCAGACATGGCCAGGGCATCATTCAGAAGTTGTCTTCGATCAGATTCGAGTTTGCAACAAAAATCTCCTGGCTTTATTCTTGTTTCTTCTTTTGGAAAGCAGCTCACCCATCTCTGAGCCCTGCGGTGCACAGACCTCACAGGGCCCCTGTTTTCCAGGGCTGAGGAGTGGGGGTGACTGCCAGCGTGGTGGATTGTTTTCCTGCTTGTGTCTGTGGAGAGTTATAGGAATGTCGCCATTTAATGGAGTGATTGGCTAAAACGATCCGCTACCCCTCAGAGTCCCCCATTTTAAAAACATCACCAGCGCAAGATGTGTGTCCTTACATATCCATGCTGTCTCACCAGCTTCCTTGTGGTAGAAGATTAAAGAGAATTTCTTATCGAGTGCATAAAGTGATACTAAACATTTTCAGATTCAAGAACAAACAGGAAGCCTATTAAAACAAGCTCTCTATTACTGCTTGCCGGCACAGAGGGCAGCGTAACTAATTCTGAATTCATCATCACAACAGTGCTTCCTTCCTACAATGACTTCTGAGCAATCTCATCAAATTGTGTTTTGGAGGTAAACTTCCCATCTCAACTTCTACTTACTACACACATACACACACACACACACACACACACACACACACAAACATATACATATACGTATAAGTGTGTGTACATCTCTCTCTCTCTCTCTCTCTCTATATATATATATATACACATATATATGCCACTTAAATGGGGTTTGTTTTGCTACTTTGATGTGTGGGATAAACAGCTAGGCCCTACGCCTCCCAGAAAGCCACGGGAAGCCTACAGTGACATTTGTTCACTTAGCCAGCACTTCCAGAGCACTAATGATCTAGGAAATGTCGGAGATGTGATAGAATCAGAGGCAAAGCAAACAACAGATAGAGGTTATTTATTACATTGCACGAAGCTGTGTCCTAGAAAAAATAAATGACTGTAACCTACATAAAATGGAAAAACAATTACAAAGACCATGTGGTGATGTCCAGGGATATTTTTATCTCCAAGTTGTGTTTTGGGGGTGAGGGAGATGGAGGGGGTTTGGGTAAAATTTTAAATTATAGTCATAAAATTGTATTTGTCAATAGATTGAGAATTTTCTCTATATGTAATGTTTTATATATTATATATTACTATGTATTCTGTCATGCTTCATTATCTATAATGCATTATGTTACATATTACATGTTCTGTTGTGTTCTATTATATGTGTGTGTGTGTGTGTGTGTGTGTGTGTGTGTGTGTGTGTGTGTGTGTATCTGAAGAAGCGTGACAGAACATTTTTCAACAAGCACATGAGAAATGTTCCTGTTTTCTGGGTCCTACAGTTTTATCTCGGTAATGGACATCACAGTGCTTTGGGTGGGAGAGGCTTGGGTCCCCCCCTCCCCCCGCCCCTCGGCTAACCTCCCTGTTGGCTTTGCTCTGTGTAGCTGCGTGTGGAGGGAATCTCACGGGACCAGCGGGTGTCATTTTGTCCCCCAACTACCCCCAGCCCTACCCCCCTGGGAAGGAGTGCGACTGGCGGATAAAGGTGAACGCAGACTTCGTTATCGCCTTGATATTCAAAAGGTACGTGTCGTGCAGGGTCCCGCTCGGTCCCGCTGTCAGTTAGACTGGAAATGCTCACCAGAGGTGACTTCATGAAGTACTTCAAGCCTCTCTCTACCTTTGGTCTAGGAGAGCCCTGGGCCTCGTGTCTGCGGACACGCCCTGCATGGCAGGCACCGTGGTCCCAGTGGACACTGCCGCTGTGCGTAGAAGCACTCTGCTAGCCTGTGCACATGCGCTAAGTTCAAACACGGTCTGTCCTGCTCAGGGAGACTCCTGTGGCAGAGGCTTGATCAGCAGACCGTAGAGTCGCAGACTCTGACACGGGCATGTTCCATAGTATTTCCAGTCAGCGAGCCCCGCTCTTCTCCAGCCGAGAGGCTGATGCTTCTCCACACCGAGGACCTGGGGCTCCTCTGGCTGGAGAGCTGGAACTTCACCACGCTCAGGAAGCAAAGCTCCTCCTACGGGGGGCGGGGTGGACATACTCCATCTAGACCCCAGTTGTGGGAGTTGCGCGCATCCTTGCCTTTGGAGATGATAAAAGCTCAAACACTGATTTGATAAGACAGATTCTGTAGTATGCCCTTATTTTTGTACAGTTCATGGAATTTAAATTTTATTGAATACCACAGTTGTATCCAGTGTGACACTTCAATTGTTGACTTGAGTAGACGTGACATTTTATTATTCTGTAGACTGCCCAGGGGATTGCTCAGCTAGCCAGGGTCCCAGCGTTCAGCTGTATGTATTTAACCTCCGCGGGGCCGCTCCTCTCCTGTGGCCCGTGCATCCCTGCTCAGGGATGGGCGCCTCTCATGGGTCATGGTGAGCTCTGAGTGAGGCCTGTTCCCAGCGTCTGTAACTCTGCAGGTAAAACACAGTGACAAGCCATCACTGTCTGAGTTTACTAAAGCCCCCACCATTTTCCAAAGCAAAGGAGGCTGGCTGGCGTGTATCTGGGTATCACCGAGTGTTTGTTTAGTGCCACACTCTTACCACCGTGGTCCGTATTGTGGGGTGTGGAGGCCGGAACGAGGGAGGGCACTGGGCTGGAGCTGCCTGGGCCCGTGTGGCGCCGGCCCCTCCGTCCACAGGAACAGCTCATGAAGGCTGGTGTCGGAGGCTGGTCACAGGGGACCCACCGGGGAGGCCCATCCAGGAGGGATGATGGATCTGGATGAGGAATGGGAGAGAATTCCAGGACTGGCAGCACGGAGGCCTCCCCGGGCTCGGGCTGGACCCTGCGGTCACCTGTCCCTGGGCCGCTACACTGATACGCAAGGCCTGGAAGCCCTGCCCCGTGGGCTGGCATTAGAGCTTACATGTGTGCATAGCATTGTAGGTTCAAATACCACAGGTCTTGGCAAAGAGAAGCATATTCACGATAAATGTCACCCTAGCCTTCTATGTATGAGCTACAGTTTATATGAAGAGAGATCAGACAGGTGTGAGTTTTTCCTGCGTCCGGTAGCATTTTCAGGGTTCAATAAATAACCTATACTAATAACCAGCTCTGCCAGATACTGGGAATGGAACAGTCAAATGCAAATGACATTTTGTGAAGTATTCTAAATAAAATGATCATGCCAATAAAATTCCACTCAGTTGACACAGTTCCTACAAACCCCCCAAACTTAGTAACTGCCATCTTTCACTCCCTCATTTCTGACTTCAGAGAAGTAGCAAATAAGCAGACAGAGCCCCGGGGGCCGGGAGCCCAGGACCCTCCTGCTGTGGCAGGGGCAGCCTGGACTCCGGGCTGCCCAGGGCAGGGGGAATGGGGGAGCGTCCTCTGTCCTTCAGCAGGTGGCTGGACCCCAGGAGATTGCCTGCTGCTCTTGCTTTTCCCTGGACACACCAGACAAACTAGAACCACTTAAGCAGCACATTGTGCTAATTACCAAATGACACGGCCCTTTCTGCCCCAATTATTGAAGATTTCTGCCAACAGGAAGAAAAAACATTGCTGACTGCCTTTGTGGCGTCTTTGTGAAAGATGCAAAGACGCTCACATGAGGAGGAGAGGAGGGCGGAGGCCAGCAAGGTGACCTCAGCTCCTCCTCCTGGCTGGTCAGCAGGGCTGGACCACAGGGGGCCACCGATGGCCCTGCGGCCGTGGCAGGGGCGGGCAGTGCACTCGATCCCAGTCCTTGCCGGGGTATTAGTAAAAAGTAGAGGTAGAGACCGGGGGACGCACACATACATAGAGAAAGAGAGAGCAAAAATGGAGTGTCTGGGTGTTGTTCCCAGACGTTACCCTTGTGGGTAATGTTATATTGGCTGATTTAGCTGAGAAACCAAGAATTACAATTTTGAAGATAAAAATATATGAAGATCTTTAAAAAATTCTTTTAGGATACACAGTGATACCCACATGATATATGTTATATGTAATGCACACACATATATAGATAAATATAATTAAAAACATTCTCATAAAATTCAAATCTTGATGAGGATAATATGTTGGTAGCCTCCTGCTGTGAGTCTGTCATTAGCAAACTGGTGGGTGTTACACTTACATTACTGCTGTTACGTCTCTTCTGAGCCGAGTTGAGGGTGGCAGGCATGCAGAACACTAGTATCCAGCACAAGGGTGCTGCTGTTTTCGCATGGTGCTTGCCGCTACATTGAACTGGACTGCCTCATGCTGAAATTCCAACACAAAGGCCCGGCAGGCCTGATCCCTGAGCCGGTGCTAGGCGAGCATCAAGAGCTCACCCCCTCCCCTCCTCTCCTTGCCCTTCAGTTTCAACATGGAGCCGAGCTACGACTTCCTGCACATCTACGAAGGTGAGGACTCCAACAGCCCCCTGATCGGGAGCTTCCAGGGCTCCCAGGCCCCGGACAGGATCGAGAGCAGCGGGAACAGCCTCCTGCTAGCCTTCCGCAGCGATGCCTCCGTGGGCTTGTCCGGCTTTGCCATTGAGTTTAAAGGTACTGGGGAGGTGTGGGGACCGGCGGGGGGGGGGGGCTCTGTGAGGTGTCCTGGGCCTGCATCACCCAGGTCCCTGCCCTGGATCCCACATCCCCAGGGAAAGAACCCACCGCTCCCCAGAGAAGGAATCCCAGAGTCACACGGACAGCTCTTGCCAACACGAAATTATTTTTGATTGCCTTACTGTTCATTTTTTTTAGGTTGGAGAATTTCCTCCCAAGTTGTATACTAATTTAGAAATAATCTGGAGCCTATGCATGTAATAATTTGAGGATGCTTGAGAAATAGGTGACACTAGCTCTTGACAGCTGGTTGGTGTCTTCAGAATGGCTAGGTTTAGAGCGCGCTTGGTTTTCCTCCACTCTTCTCACCACAGACAGCCCCATGCTTCCCCTCCCTCCCTCACAGCCCCCTGTGGGCCTCGGAAGCTCTGGGCTGGCAGCGCTGGCTTCGAGACCCGCCACACCTCTCGTAAGATGCAGAGAAACCAGACAATCACAAACCCACCTCAGATCCACCGAACTCAAGCATTGTGTCCTTGGGTCCGTGCAGACAAATACATTGTTTAATGTCTAATCTCCATGTGAACCACGGAAACACAAGGCGTAACACGGAGAATCAGAGAAGGACATGTAACAGAGGACCCCTTCGCAGCGTGTCTTCTATTCACAAGGCCATGAAAATGTGTGTGCTCAATTTTGAGTTCCTTTCCTAGAGAAAACTGCAAGGCAAAAAAAAAAAAAAGACCTGTGTTGTGTGTGTGTTTGAAATTGGGTCTTGAGCTGAGCGGCTCTAATGAGCAGCCTTGAGCCTGTGTTCCTTTCAGGACCTGAGTTCAAGCCTGGCTTTTGAGGATACATTTTATCTCTGTCACATCTTCAATAGAACCATAGTTTTATGGCTTTAAGTAGATGAACTAATTTCCCCCAAAACATAAAGATGTGCAAACTTAGTGGTCTTTATTAAACTATAGAAAAATACTTGGACCCTTGGGCAGCAGAGGAGGGTCCTGTGTCTTTTGCATAAGAAGTCCTTGCAAGTGCTTGGTCTATGCCACCAAAACAAACACAGCCAAGCAAGCCGGCAGACAAACAACAAAAAGAAACACCTACCCAGAGGAGGAGAGGAAGAGAGGAGGAGGAGATGTAGGAGGAGGAAGAAGAGGAAGAGGAGGAGGAGGAAGAGGAGGAGGAAAGGAAGAGAGGAGGAAAGAGATGGAAGAGGAGGAGGTAGAGGAGGGGAAGGAGGATCTGGAGGAGAAGGGAGAAGAGGAAGAGGAGGATGTAGAGGAGCAGGATGTAGATGAGGATGAAGAGGAGGAGGAGGAGGTCGATTGCTGGGTCCCCCCGGCACTCTGAGCCAGTCAGGAGTTCAGGAAGTAAAGGACGCAGACAGCGCCAGGCCAGTGGCCCCTCTCTGTGCGCACTCTTCAGAACAGAACACCCACCTCAGTGGTTTTAGAAAGTTCTCCTGTGGCGTCTGTGGCCATGTGTCGAGGGAGGGAAGCACCTATTCCCAGAGCAGCTCCCACCAAGCAGCTCCCACCGGGCAGCCAGGCTGGCAAGAGCACCCCGCCGGGCACCGTGGAAGGGGAAGAGGCCCAGGGCATCTCACCCCGCAGCCAGCTCGGGCCCCACAAGCAGCCTCCACGCAGCCTCCAGTGTGGGAGGCACGAAGCTATCCCTAAGTGGAAATGACAAGAACTGCAGTAAAACACACAGGTTATGAAGCCGTCTAATTAGGAGCAGGGTGAATTGCGAGCAGAAAAAGGTGCAGTGATTTATCACCAAGCATCCTGCACTGACAGCCTCGTAAACAGAATGAAAAGATAGACACAGTTCATCTGAGGAAATTCAGATTAGTGCCTGGAAGTAGCAGGCTGTGTACAGAGCTCCTGGCCAGACCAGAACTCATGCTGAAAGAGATGCGGAGCAGAAGACAGCCAAAAGGCACAGGGCTGTCGATGTGGACAGACAGGGACGCTGGGGGCGCAGTGAGCTTTCAGTAGGAGAAATGAAGTCGGAGAGCCCGGTGCTTCAGACGCCAGCTGCTCAGCAACTCTGAATGAACGCCTGCATGGAAGCAAACGGGCACGATGAAACAGCTTTCCACAGCCTGCAGGCGTGTGTTCTGTTCTCTCTGAGACTCCAGGCCACCACAACAAACCCTGGTACCATTTGCAGGTATCGCACAGCTTCTCAAGAAAGCCAGTGGAGAGCACTGGTCCCACAACACCCAGCCACACTCTGCGAGACCAACACCAGCAAAATACAACTCCCGACACACCTGTGAAGAAAACACCAGCAAAATTCAACACCGACCACTCTGCGAGACCAACACCAGCAAAATACAACTCCCGACACACTTGTGAAGAAAACACCAGCAAAATTCAACACCGACCACTCTGCGAGACCAACACCAGCAAAATACAACTCCCGATGCACCTGTGAAGAAAACACCAGCAAAATTCAACACCGACCACTCTGCGAGACCAACACCAGCAAAATACAACTCCCGACGCACCTGTGAAGAAAACACCAGCAAAATTCAACACTGACCACTCTGTGAGACCAACACCAGCAAAATACAACACCAGACGCACCTGTGAAGAAAACACCAGCAAAATCCAGTTATGGAACTCGGTTTGGTGTGTGGTAGTCAGCATTGCAGATGATTTTCAGGGAAGCTCTCTGCGCCATGTTGATCGTGGGCTGTTAAAAGCGTCACAGCTTACACTTACCTGAAGGCTGTAGGGTGGCTTTCTTGCCTGGTTTTCCTCTGCTGAGCTGCACCATTGTACGTAGGTACAGTGTGAGCCCCAAAGCCAGGCCACCAGGACTGACCGTGCCACGGTACTTAG